AGTGAGCACATGAACATGGTTCATACCTACACACCCCAGGAACAAGTGTTATCTGTTTCTTGGGAGGCCCGTGTACTGGGGTGATAAAGGGGTGGATAGATAGATTTGTCATGCAAAATATTCTCTGCTTTTAACTATGTTAACATACTCCTTGCTTTGAGAATAGAGGCTCAGCTGAGGGAATAATTACAGCTTCAGAATCCTGAACATAATATTTTCTTTTATTAGGTAAGCAGTTGTCGGCAGATACCAAAATTGCTTAATTTATACTTCTAGCAATACCCTAAATGTTAAATATATCAAGTGAGCATTCTTAGAAATATTAATATTGCAATTCTTACCTAATTTTACTCTGAACTTGACAGCTAAATTTTATATAGAGGTATACAAATGCTGTGAATTTTCAAGCCTTTAATTAGTAGCTGCAAATTTGTTTGTCCCTTAGCAACTTGTATTTGCATAAAGATTAAGGCCAGTCAGAATGAAAGGGATAAAACATAGATGGAGGAAACATTAATAAATTAGTAATCATGTATAAAAGATAAGTAGTCTTAGATGTCATTTCCATAAGCTTTATTAAAATTGAAATTCTTTTTTAAAGATGCAGTTAGTATTTTCTCCACAGTTGATCATTTCTAAGAAGAGATCTGTCGTGAGCTGCAGAATTAGAGAAATTAATGTATTGAGGTCAGACATTAGTATGTAAATTAAGCTTGGCTTTTATTCTGTATGGCAACAGAAGTATTACCTTATATTTGACCTTTCATTCATTTAGCCTGACTCAGCTGTGTCAGTCAAAACAATTAATTCTAAGGAGCAGCTTTAAAGTGCAGGGCTCAGCTTTCTTCTCCTCCCTCTGCCTGTTGGAAATCCCAAGGGAAAGGAGCTAATGGAGGGAGCCTGTGCAAGATGCTCTTTCTGGAGATGTTTTGGAGTTTCTGGTCCCATCCCCACACCTCCACTGCTACGTTTGTTCATAGACCTGTTCAGGGAGACAAGGGCCAAGCCCGAGAGCCCTGTTTGCTGTACCCCTCTGCTGAGGTGAAGCCTTGAACCACACAGTGTATAAGAGGTTTCTTGGAAGTTACTTTCTGGAGTAAGAAGGAACCAGATAGTAACTATGCATAGGAGTTAAGTGATGCTGTGAATCTGACAGGTAACAATACAAAAATGTGTACTGTATTTTCTGATCGACCTATAAACTGATGGTAGAAACGAAGGTGAACTTCCCTCTCCCCTTACATTTGCCCTTGTTGCTGGACTTTGAGCTGTATTTCTGCTCTTTGTAGCTGTACTGCAGTGCTTACACCAGTCTTGGATGGCATGACCCTGGGGGAGTTACATCATCCAGCTCACCCTTATGGTGTGGGGATGGCAGATGGCAGCGAAACACAGAAGAAAATGTAACGGTGCATTGTGAGCAAGTGTAATTTATCTGGAGCAGAGAAGATGTTGTGCACTGGTTCCTTGCAAAAATGTACAGATCAGGGTAACGTTCTGGTTTTATAGACCACAAGTCTGGCTGTGATACACCTAGCTAGGCAATTTTTCTTAATTAGTTATGTTGAGAGCACACTGAGGTTAGGTGTGTACAAGTGTGTTGAACAGAACTGCAGCAAATAAACTTTTCCTGAAGTACTTTCCACAGCAGCAGGGGGGAATTATTCTCTGAATATAGGCAGTGTTGGTGCTGCCAGTTAGGGTGAGCGTGTGGCATAGAAAATCTGTGTGTCAACTCAGTTCTACAGGTAAGGACAAACTCTTGTGCAGGTTTGCTTTGCAAAGTCTTGGTTTTATTAAAAGCACAAAGTATAACTTTCGCTTTAATTCAGATGATCAAATTAATTAAGCTCTAGTGCATGAGAATAGGAAACCTTAGAAATCCTGGGGGGTAGAAAGCAGGAGAATGAAAATAAATCATTAAACTATAAAAGCAATAACCTGTACATGCAAATGAAGAAGTATATTCTCTTTTTACTTAGTTGAAGTGTAAGATTTAGCAATAAAGCTTAGAATTAAGCTTTGTTGTTCAGATTTATACATTAGGAAAAGTCTATAAAATATTTAAGCTGAAAGAAATGAGAGATGCAATAGCACACAAAAAAACCCCTGGCTTTATTTAAAAAATACTTTTCTAATATGAAATATGTTAAGAGCTATGCCAGTAAAAGTTTGAAATGGGGACATGGGCTTGAGTGTCCATGCATGACCTGGAAGGCAGCTGGAGGCTTTTCTCCATAGAAAGGAAGGCAGGCAGGAAGTTCTAAGTGGTATTCTAGAGCTCCTGCTTTATTATATTCAATGACATTTTTTTCTTTGACCATAATACAGATTTTTTTTCCACGAATGCAAATTTCAATGACTACTGTATTTCCTCAGAAGTTCCAGGGCTGATAGTACAGCAGGGAAGAGGTATGGGTTTGTGGAGGAGGTGCAGATCTGTGGAGGAAGAGAATGCTGGGAGCTGTTGCTCCACAAGTCAGACCTCTGTCTCGGTAGCACCGAGTGGCTGGACAACTCTCCAGCCTTGGCCCAGGACAGAGAGCACTGGGGCTGGGATTAATTTCTCTGATGCTGATCCCTTTAACAGTCCTTGCAGCATTTTCTGTAAAAAATGAAATCTAATGGAATTTCCTCAGCTCTGCTTGCATCTTTTAAAGTAAAGCTTTTTATTTTTTTTAACTGACAACATTAATGATGAATGAATAATGTACAATCCAAAACACTCTGGAAACTAGAGTGAGAAAGGGTTTGGGGCTTCCAGGTGTCATTAACATGAGAGTTGTGTTACAAACAGCACAACACTCTCTCTGTTGAGTACAAGGTTTCACATTTGGTCAAGGTCTAGATCAGCTGGCTGAAGATTTGAATTTTTAAAATCATGAACAGACATTTTAAGTTTAAAAATAGAAGCCTGCATGCTTTTTTTTTTCTTGGCTGTACTACTCTTGCCCTTTTGGAAGCCAAAGGGTACCTGGTGGTGGTGGTGAAACCACCATCCAGTCTTACAGAGAAAGAACAAAACTAATACTCTGTTACTTTAAGCTGTACTTCACCACCAACAAAAATAACATCCTTTTTCTACTTTGCTATCTACAACAAGAAGGAAGGTTACACAAACAGTACCTACCTAAGAACTGTGTTTATTTTCTAAAGACTTTTTGGTCTCTTATCTCAAAAGTGATCACATCTATAGACACTCGATGTCAGTGAATGTAAGTGTGGATACAAAAGTGCCATTAGCCTAAAGTTCTGTAGCAATGGTCTTTGGAGAAGAGCTGCCTGTGAATGGCAGTGTGACAGTCCCACCCAGCGATGCTGGGAGTACTTCAGCACCAGAAGACACTGGTGCTTGTCACAAAGGACTGTTGCAGTGTCTGGGAACATTGAACGTTCATCTAAACGCCTGGGAGCTGGCATTCAGCACAGGGAGAGGTTCTGCACCGAGCAGTCACAGCTGTGGTCACAGTTTGGGCAGGTGCTGCCAGCTGAAGGTAACATCTGGAGGTGTCAATGAGCCCAGAGCCCAGATTCAAGCATGGTTGAAAACTTTGGCCCAAAAATGTCTTTCAGAAATTAGATATTGCCATTGAGTTTATATTAATTAAAAGGCTTTTTTAGTGATTCTTTCTCTAAAGGCCCTTTGTCTTACAGTTGCCATGTATTTATTTTCATCATACTAGAAGTTTAAAATATAACTTTGAAATATTTTATACTAAAAGGGGATACAGGGTGGCAATGGATTAATGCCTTTCAGGGAAATTTAGTAAAGAGAGTCTACAAATCACATGGGGCTATTTGTTATGGGTGGGTGACTACAGGATGGCTGCAAGAGGGCTCAGGAAATCTGCTGCCTCTTGCAATCCAAGTCAGAAGGTGCAGATTTACTGTAGATTTGTCTTAATACATTTTACAGTGCTGATGGTGAATAATAACTATGTTGATTGTTATCCTCTGCTGGAAGAGAACTTTCTGCAGGATGCTAAATCTACTCAGGAACACAAAAGATCAATGTAGTAAAAGCACTGATTTTGTCAGTGCCTAGTGTGAATTATACTTATTCTTGATGATTGGTACTTAGAAAAATGACTGGAAAGAAAATAAAAACCTGCATATGCTTAGTGGCTGTCAAATAATTACCATCAGTTACCTGACTCTCTGAACTTGGGAGGATAGCAGTCTTTATTTTATCTAGATGTGTCAGGCTCAGAAAAAGAAGGAAAAATATGTCATGCTGAATAAACATGTAACATTTATTTTGGAACATCATTATCTCGATCAGCTCTATTCAGGGAATTTGGCAACAACAATGAAGATGAAATAATGTATTTTGACAGTATGCACAGAGGGTTTGAAGAAAAAAAAAATAATGGGATTGCCCAGAAATTGTCTTCTGAGCAGTGCCAGTATGCATGTGTGTGAACTGGGTTGCCTTGGAATGTGTTGTGCTAGAGTTTCTTCTTTGAAAATACATCTGACTGTACTTTTTGTACTTTACTTGCAGGGAAGGTAAAAGCTCCTAATTGTTATTAGAAAATAATTTTAAATATCAGTAGATTATTTCAATCTCTAAGCTATTCCCATGAAATATTCCATAAAACCCATCTTGTTTTCCACCTAGCTGTATTTGTTTGATGCTGGTAATGCCAGTGTGCAGTTACTGCCCAGTGTTTCCTTGTCCATGGGGAAGAAACCTGTTCCTTTTTTGAGGCTGTAAAGACCTTTTGAAAGGACTATGGATATTCTGCAGCATCACAGTGGACCTACATCAGGACGATAATATTTTATCATTAAAAAAAATGCTTCAGGAAGACAGCATGTTGAATCTCTAAGACCCAGGTTAACAGAAGGTACAATTATTTTGTGTGCTGCAGATGTCAGACCTTGGAGCAGGCGTCAGAAGCCAACGAGGAGCTGCTGGAGCCCAGCCCAGCCAGCAGAGCCGAGGAGGGAGCCGGCAGGGGCCCGGAGCCTGGGCTGCCCTCCCTGTGTCTCAAGCAAGTGTTCCCCAAGTACGCCAAGCAGTTCAGCTCCCTGCGCCTGCTGGACAGGGTGGCTGCACTCTTCATCCGCTTCCTCGGCGTCAAAGGGACCACCAAGCTGGGGCCAACAGCATTCCGGACGTTCATCAGGTCGGTGAGGTGAAGGTTTCCTGAGGAGCTGCTCAGAGCTTCCCAGCTCCCGACCCTGGGGCCAGCACCGCTGTCCCTGGGCTTGGCTGTGCAGCAGAAACACCCCAGCCGTGGTACGCTTGTCACTTGTAGGTGCAGGGATGCCTTCTGAAGAGACTTTTCTCCAGAAGTTCCATTGAACTATTGCATATTTTTTTGTATAAAATACATTTTTATCATTCCAAGCTCCCAAAACACCTAACTGCCTTGTAGGAAGCTAGGTCTTTAGTTCACAGCAGATCAGTGATGCTTTGGGATATACCATCTGCAGCCCTAGGGAACATGTCACGTTCCTTGTAAATCGTTGGAATTCCACTGTGAGAAGGTGACAACTGGAATTGGCTGTGGACCTGATCCGGCTGCCTGTGGGCACAGCCTTCTGCCCCGGGCCACGGCCAGGGGCTGCCAGCTGCTGATGCCCTGGGCATTGAGGGTTTGCACTGTGGCATCGCAGCTCGCAGTGGCGAGGGACTCGACTTGTTTTTTCACATACTTTTCATTTGTGAGGTTTTTTTTCATGGTTTTTGGTGGATGTATCTGTTCTAGTCATGGTACAAATATCTCATTTTCCATCTTTCATTGACAATGACAAAAGAAATAAGCAGCAGCAGATGTACTCTTAAAATATAGATCCTGTTTCTGTGTGGATGCATTTAGCATTCAGGAATGAATATAAATAATTTGATTCGTGCAAATTACAATATATAGAAAATGACTGAAGGCATCTGCTCTATCCACAGACCAGTACAGGATTGTTTCCAGTTCTGTTTTCTATTGTTTAGTCCAGCCTTAATTTGGCATTTGTCAGAGGAATGCTGAATAAATGCCAGCATTTTCTTTTAAGAATATTACAATAAATTGCCATAGCTCAATGAAATAATGTTTGCAGTTTCCTAATGCATGTTAAATCAAACTTTTTAACATATTTAACATGAGGTGTGTGTTGTGTCACTCCTCAGGAATATATTGGCACACAGGCTGACCGTGTGTGTGGACAAGTGGGGGCAGAGATGATCCACTCAAATTTTAGCTGATCAAAATCTGTTCCCTTTCAATACTTCCATCATTCTAAACCAAAATAACTAAAAGGAAAATGCTGAACATGGCTCGAGTCCTTGCTTGGATGCTGCCTAAGATGATTTTTTTTTTACTATCTAGGCCAGACCATAGTTCTGTTTTAAGGGAGCTCTGCTTAGGCTACTAAAGAGTAAGATCTTTTTAAATTATCTGGGATTTGGGATGGTTTTTTCAGTTGTTTTTCTTTTTCCTTTTTTGGCTGGAAACTTTGGCCAGCTCTTTGGCACATGCACAGTTCCAGCCAGGCTGCCAGACATCTGGAAATCCTGGACGGATGGCTAATTCTCATATTCTGATCAATACTGCACTGCAGGCTGAGACCACACAAGTGTCACATCTCCTACATGTGCTTATCACCAAGTGCCCGAGGTGCAGCCAGAGCTGCTGCTGCTGCTGCCCGGGCAGCGTTCGGTGACGCACGGGGCAAATCTCTTCAGTGTTCAGGCATGAAGAAGTAATTCTGTGCCTGAAAGCTTTCCTCCAACCCTGTTCAAACAGCATCAGTCAGCAAAGAAAACAGCGTTTCTCTGTGCAAACCCTGCCTCATGCAGATAGTCTGTGCAGATTTGTGCTGGGTTTTGCACTGTTCCAATTCATTCCATCCTGTTACAGCCTCAAGAAGATCTAGCAAGAGCAGCCTGGAAAGCTGGGTGTCACCCCCAAGGCCTGTTAATTTAAATATTCAAGGATTGTTTGGTTATTCATTGTTTGCTTTTTTCCTCCCCTGCTTTGTTGCAAAACAAAACCAAACCAGTTCATCTGTGATCTGACCTCATGCCTTTTTGTGGCTAGAGATTGCCATGAGATAGAGGCATGCAACTAAATCCAGTCTCATGGGCTACATGGGCCACTCCTGGTGCCCAGTGCTGCTGCTGGAGGAGGTGGTGCCTGGGAGGTGTGAGCAGGCAGCAGGACTTGCCTACACACAGGAGATGTTCTGCATGTGAAAAATTCAGTCCCTGTGCTGTTTCAGATCTGTGTATTTACTGCACTCTGGTGTGTGTGTTACCTGCTCTGGGTGTGTCATTACACTGAGTGTGTCACAGTGGATGTGGACATGGGTAAACTTTTCTCCTGGTTTTCTCTCATTTGCCCTTGCAGAATTTTTCCTAGTGTAGAGTTTGGATGTAATCAGAATTTCTTCTTTATTCTCTCTATTTTTAACAGGAACTGCAAACTGAGTAACAGCAATTTTTCCATGGCTTCAGCAGATATCTTATATATCGATATCACAAGAAGGTGGAACAGCATGGGAATGGACCACAAAGAATCAGGTAACATTGTTTTGTCTTTGAAGACTATGGAGCTGGGGTTTTATTTCAATTTGGGTAGCTCAAGCACACCTCAGATATTCAGTTAAAAAAAAAATGGGAACAAAGCATGTACTTCTGAGGCATGTACATGTGCAGTGAATGATGTTGTTTAGTTCTGTGACTGTTGCCTTTTATCTCTCAAACAGATCACTCGTAGTTTTCAGTTTATTTATTTGAACAAGCCCCTTCTTACACTTGCAATTTTTAATTTGTAAGACTCGTTGCTGTTTGCAGAGAAGCATTTAAAAACCATTCCCAGTGGAACCTTGAACTTATTTACAGGGTAAGAAGGTGTGCCCATAGTAGAACAGCTTACAGACTCTACCAAACCAAACCCAAAGCTGTGCAGGAGATAGAAATAAATATGCTTAACTAATCTTTTAGATTTGTGTTCCCCAGAAAGGTTACTCTGGGGACAGACAAAACTACCTGTATTACTTTTCCTTTCCCAGAGAGTTCCCCCCCCACAATAGTTCACTCCCTTTTTTAGTTTTCATTGCCTTTGTCTTTGTGAGGGCTGAGGGAAGGGCACTAGTTTCTGCACAAACTTGCTCAGTGCTCAGCTATCAGACAGGCTCTGCCTAAGGATGAGCAGCAGTCTTTGCTTTTTTGCTACAATCACTGCTTGCTGTAAATTTTTTGTTCATACAGGAGCTAAGTCAAAGAGCCAGCCTGTCCTTCAGTAGTAAATTACCTCCCCATCTGCTTTGGCCACATTTTTTAGATCTGAACCAGTAATCTATCAAACAGCAGAGTTCAGGGATTATTTTCCTGTTATATTAATGGCCTAAATAGACCATTTAATGTATACCATAATTTCTAAAATGGCTATTACATTTCTGTATGAAATTGAGTCCATAAATTTGGCAACTTTTCCATAGCTTTTGTAAAGTGTTGAATAATTTCAATTGCACTAATCTTCCCATCTCAAAAAAAAAAAAAACCAAATGCTCCTGACAACATTTTTTGAGCCATTTATAGCAGGGAAGCAGCAGCTGGAGTATTCTGGAAGGTTTTGTGCCACTTCTCCTTCTGGCTGTCAAGGAGGATTGTCAAGGTTCTATTTAAGTTGGTGTGGAATAAGGAAACCCACCCTGATGCTGCTGGTCGTGGAGCTGCAAGCTGGCATCTTCCCACCAACTGCTTCAAAACATAGAAAAGGCTGAACATGGCCATCAGTGTGTGTGCTCCTGCATCTCTTCTGGTGTTTAATACTAAAATAGCAGAAGAATCAAGTGTCTCCGAGTTGAGACAAGTTGAGTTTTAGGCTTTTAGGGAGCTGTTGACAGTCTCAATGAGCCAGATGTTTTCCAGGTGTTAAAACAACACACCCAACCATTTCTGTTGGCTTTGTGTTTGGCCCACTTCCAGCTGTAACCACACAGTCACTACTGCTCCTCTTGTACAACAGCAGCTTCTAACTTCTTCCATTAAATGCTTCACGAGTGTCACTTATGGGGGAGGAAGTGTGAGTGCCACCAAAGGTGCTTTCCCTGCCTGCAGCTCACCGTGACTGATAAAATAATTTACTGAGCTGGCAGCTGCTGCTTTCAGATAACTCAACAATTCCTTTGCAAGCTGCTTTAGAGCCAAGACTGTAAGCGACCCAGCTGCAGCCCTAGTTGAGAGAAATTATACTTCAGAATGTAATTGTGATTTTTTGAAAAGGTGCCTTTCCTGCAGCATCAATAAACTTAAACCCCCCCCAAACCTTTCAATATCTCATCCTAAAATAATCTTAAGTGTATGTTCAAACTGGGAGAGGGAGTTAAAGCACAAAGCAGCTATAACTGTTCTTGTTGCTGGCATTCTGCAAAACCCATTGTGGTCTGGCTTCTTAATTAAGAATTAAAGTAGGTATTACTTCAAGGTTTTAAATACAGTAATTAGTGTTAATATGAAGCCCCTCTTTCTGTTGGCTGTGGTAAGGTGTTATTAGTAAGATGTGATCAAACACCACCTGAGGAGTCTCTGCTGCAGCATGTGGCTTCTGCAGGGCACTTCTGTTCGTGAAGGGGCAGAGGGTTTTATTCTAGCAGGGAAAATTTTTGGCACTGCACCACTTCCCCTTCCTACACACTTCAACTGCTTTAAATTCAGTTGAAACAAAACTACTCTTGTAGAGTTACTGGGTATGGCTGAAGAAATGCCCTTGTCACCTTCAGAAGGAGATCTCAGGATTCATACCTGGTGCAGTCTTTGCAGGAGGAAAGTAACACTTGCAATAAACTGACTTCTGTGATAAGGTGGTAACTTGGTAGTGGGGTTATTGTTGCAGTGCCACAGCCTGGAATGATGTGATGTTTCTGTAGTTCTACATTGGAACTTTTGTCTAAGAATACAAAGTTTGCATGACCCAGTTCAGGTGCCAATACAAACTTGCTTTTCTCTCCCAGTGGATTGTTTTCCTTGAAGCTCAGTATGTTCCTGTGGGTCTGATTAGATTTCAATATAATCTATGAGGCAGCAGAAATCAAGGCTGACGTTACAGCAACTTAATTGTACAATATCTTGCTATCAGTTGCTGCTGCACCAGTTTGCCTCTGGCTGCCAGGCCACTGGTCAGGCTGGTGTCTGCACAGCAGAAACAGGAGAGTGCCACCCGTGTGTACCCAGCCTGTGCTCAAACAGCGGGGCAGCTCCTGTGCATTGCAGACAAGTAAAACTTTGTCTCTTGGTTCTTGATTCTTTTCTTAGTGAACACTTGTGATGGCTGCTGTTTAAAAGATGTGGCCACCCCCAGTGCATCCATGGGCCTGGCTGCCCAAGAGCCAAGGGGCAATATGCTGCCTACAGGATGCAGGGAGCTAGGGGAGGCTGTGCTGCGAGTGCTGTCAACACCTTTTCCTTGCAGGGATGTGCTTGCAAGCCTTTGTCGAAGCTTTCTTCTGCCTGGCTCAGAAAAAATACAAATCCCTCCCACTGCACGAGCAAGTGGCATCACTGGTGGACTTCTGTGAGTGTCAGCTGGCTGCCCTGGGTGAGAAGCGGCTGCCCTGGGGCCGGGGGGCCGGGGAGCGCCGAGCAGATGGGCCTCACCTGCCCCCTGCAGCCCCCCACCTCCTGAGCCGCCCGCCCGCCCCGGGGAGATGTGCAGAGGACAGAAATCAGCGCTGCTGAGGGTGCTGATTCACCGGGACAGAGCTGAGGATCAGCCCCCAGCTGTGTGTGACCTGCAGGAGGAGAGGCAGGGTCTTGAATTCCTCCCTCTGACAGTCACAGCCTCTGTTGGGCCTGCAGTACACCTCAGGTGACAAACTGCCTTTGTCCCAGGGGGATAGAAGACCAGGAGTGAAGAGCAGGACCAGAACCCAGCGGGATGCCAACCAGCATCATGGGCTTGGTTGCACTGATGGAGAGGCACACTCCAGTCACAGGAATTATGTTGTTTTGTATGCACTGGACGTATCATGGAAACCAAGGAAGGAGCTGCAGCCTCACATAGCAGCAGTGGACTTTGGAAAACCAAAATCTGAATTATGTTTGTGGACTTCAGGCTTTGACCCTCCTCTTTTGGTGGCTTGGACTGTACGTGTTGGAATCGATGCAGATTTGGTCATTGCCTATGTACTTATTTTTTAAAGTCAGTCTTAAAACACTGAAATCATATTTTGGCTTCTACTTCTTTGTACATGTCTTTGCCATGACAAGTACTGTTAATTTTTTAAAGAAAAACTAGAGATATTTATCCTTTTGCTTCCACAGAGACAATAAGCTCACACTTATTCACAGAAAAAAATTTACTTCATTAAGTGAAAATGGGTGAATCAAGTGGTGGTTTTTGTCTTCAGGTACAAGGGACTGCTTCTGCAAAAAGCTGTGCAGTGTAAAGGCCCAAGAGTTCATTTAAATTCTGGTGGAACCAGTCCTGTCCCTGACTTTGGCTAAACTAATCATGTTCTAGGTTTGCTGCTTTTTTTGCCTCTTGCATGTTTATTCCCCTATTTGGACCTGCAGTAGCATCTAGAGTAGATTTTTTTGTGTGTCTTTGTACATATTCTTCATTTTTTCCCCCTTAAATATAACTCTGCACCGAAGTTAGATCTCTTGTGTTTAACAGGGTGTTTTGTCAGGAATGCTGGAGGTGCACAGGGTAGTCCTGTTTTTCCAGACAGGAACCATGACCCATAATCACACTCCTGAGGGGGCTCAGCACAACGTGAGAAGGGCTGAAAGGACAGGAATAACTTGGAACAGCTTGGAATTCAGGGCTGTTCAGTCAAATTCTTTTCACTCTCATAATTTATTACAATAATGTGTGTCTACATCTGAGTTTTATTTTTCCTCTCCTTTGTTCTATTCTTTAGCATTGAGTCTGCCTGTGCTCTGGTGCTCTGCGTGCTGGCAGACTTTGCAGAGCTGGAAGGTGGCACAGTGCCTGGGCATTTTGCTCTGGATTGGAGAGAATTCCCTGAGCTCAACACCAGAATGCTCCAAGGGCTGGTGCATCACAGCCATGGCCTTGGGAGCACGCTGCCTGTGCAGAGTCCACCCATTCAATGGCCTGGACTAGATGCACACACAGCACTGAGTGGGTTTTTACTTCAAGTTTAAGAGTTTCTGTCTGATGTCAGTTCTCAGCAGCGTGTGTTCTTCCTGCCTGGCCATCAGCAGCATGGCAGCACCACACAGAATCCAGCTGAGCCCCCCCAAAACTCTCACCTGGCATGTTGGAGTGTCAGATGTGGGTGTCCCTTCTTCTCTTGGTCTTTTTCTGTAGCACCAAGCAGAGCAGTAGTAGATGATCTTTTTTAGCTCAACAGCTGGACTGTTTGAAACGTTATGTACTGTACATAAGAGGACAATTGTGGACAAATGCCACTGCCATCAGCCTTGTTTAAGTTTCATAAAGATTATTGCAGTATGAAGATAAAATGCTGCACTCCAAGGTCTAGCATCTGTCAGAACGAATGAAGCTGAAAGGGTCATTTTTTTCACACTTTCATTGTAATACATTTGAAGACATTCACAGGTTGAAAAATGGTTATTTCTGATTTTCTGACATCTGACATTTGTCTTGAGATGGGCAGAGTGTTGCCAGGGAATAGCTTATGCTTTCTCTCATCTCAGGATTGATGTCCTGTAAAGACAGAATTACAGGAGTCAGGTTTGAAATGCTACAACTGCCAACACCTTTCCTGACAGCTTCCAAGGGCTGCAGTCTGTGGCCTGAGGTAGCCAGGTCTGGCTGCTGGGTGAGTTACCCTGGTATCAGTGGAATAACTTATCCTACGTAATGAATGCTGGTAAGATCTCTCTGTTTTGGAGATCTTTACATCCTCTGGAGCCAGCTCCCGTGTTTACAGGCTGTGTGTGCACAGGCTGTTGCAGTGCACCCTATCTCCCATTTCAGATGTGAAGGGTCCCTTGTAGAACAGTCCAAATATTCAATTATCTGCCTCCAGTCCCCCGGTGTTGGTGTATTTATGTAATTGGAAAATTGAATGCTGTGGTGTTCTCAGGGGGAGGAGGGGCTGAAATGGGACTGTACTTTACAGACTGACAAAGTCCCATTGCTTTTCTCTGCCATCTAATGCAATTTCCTCTGCATATTATTTAGCATCCAAAGCAATTTCACATTGCCTTTCAGTTACCAGTCTGTGCACGCACGAGAAAGTGACCAGGGACACATCACTGAGCAGGTGAATGCTGATGCACTGGCAGTCTTCATCCTGAGGTACCTTTCCAGAGAAAGAAACGGGGGTGGGAGGTGGGAGGCACTGGGTTTTTAGTAGTCCTCCTCTAGATATTCTCTTCAGAGAGAGCACAGCGCTCTTTGACACAGGTAGGAGCTGGAACACCAGTGAGGTCTGTCTTGTTACTGGGCACACTGGGTCTGGTGTTCCTCACTGGGCATCAATCAGAATTAAACACCTCAACATCCGGGGAAGATTTGAGGCAAGTAAGTCCAGGATCTCAATCCAGACATCCCCCTTCCCTGCAGGTTTGGATCTAGCTCAAATGTCCCCAAACTCACTTGGCGATTCCTTGGTCAGTTTTGAGCTCTTTCTCTGCAGCAGGCTCCTGTGGCCACGTCACCTGGAATTTGTCTTCTGCCTAATCTGGATTGGACTCTTGACAGTGTCCAACTCACCCTGTTACAGCCATATGCTTTGGGAACACTGAAAGTGCTCCAGGTGGATCTCTACACTTGCCACACACTTCCAGCTACTTTCTTTTAAAATGCAGCTGGAAAGGGAGTTTCTCAGCTAACCACACCATTGATGCTCAGGTGAGAGACCCACCTCCACCTGCTGGTCTTGGCTGGAGCTCCCACCCAGTGCCATGCAGGTGACTCCTCTCTACCAGCTGTACCCCTCTGGCTGCATTAGCCTCTGGTTCAGTGGTGGAAGCCCTGAGGAGGAGCAGTGTCACTCCTGAGCAGGGCAGATGTGTCTCCTCGTGTGCTGGGTGCTCAAGCTGGAAGGGGCTGGAGCCCCTGCTGTGATTTTGGGGGTTGACAAGGACATTCCTCCTGCACTGCTGGATGTGGGAGACCTTGGAGGCCATGCTAAGGGAAGCTGCCACAGGAGGAGCAGCTGCCAGCTGGGACCTACCTGGATGATGCCTCTGCACTTGTTTACTATGGCATGGATAACTTTCATAGTCACTATCACAGCCCTTGTTCCTCACCAGCACTGTATCTGACCTTACTCTGAGCTCTCTCTGATGGACAGTGACAAGCTGCTTCTAAATATTACCCTGTTCCCTCTAATTCATTTTTCTTTTCCATCATGTTTTGCTGTGTTTCCTTCTAACTCACAGTTTTGCTTCTCAGCTTGCCTAATAAACTGATGTGGTCACCTTGGCCAGACCTGTCAGTTCAGCTCCCTGTGTTGCTGCCTGTTTCTGGAAGTGTCCATTCTGAAGGTGAATCTCTCCTGCATCATCTCCTGGAGGGGTTCCCACACATCAGCCCTGCTGAGCTGATGCATCACTTCCAGCCTTCCCCCCTGTGTCGTTGGAGGACTGATCTCTGTGGGGTTGCTGGGTGGTTTCCCCAGGCTGCCCCCATCTCCTCTCCCCCCAGCCATGGACACGGTGGTTTCCAGCACATGGGCAGCCCTGCAGCTCTGCACAACAGGAATGTGAAGAAACTCCTCAGTCAGGTCCAGCTCTAGCAGGGGGAGTCCCCATGGGCCTCCTGGAGCATCCCCACATGTGGGATTCTTCACAGCTACTCTTGTCCAGCTTGGCCATGGGGGGATAGCAGGGCCTGGCTCCCTGTGCCCAGCACACCCCCAGTGCTCCAGAACCTTCCTGGCAGTGGCCACTTCCCACCCCGGGCAGCTGTGGGGAGCAGTGGCTGGGGAGGGATGGGGAAGGGGTGGCCTGGCCAGAGCAGGGACCAGCAGGGCCAGTCCTCCAGGGGCAGGTTCATCACTGGAGAGGCCTCGGGAGCGTTTTCATAGCAGCTGCTGCTGCTGGGGATGGAGCTGGCTGTGCAGCTTTACACGTGGAGCAGGGAGCTGAGGCCGAAGCCCTTGGCACCTCTGCTGTGGGTTGGGCTTTCTCCACCTCCAGCTCCCTCGCCTGCAGGGGTGCCCGGTGCCCGCTGGGGCAGGGAGCTGGGCAGGGGTCACCCTGTGAGGCAGGGGCAGGAGCCACGGGGCCACTGGGACAGCAGGAGCTCTGCCGAGCG